GTAATGCACATAATGTATTAACTAATGAATTAATTAATGATGTGACTGTTAATTGTTAATTGAATCAAATTGAAAGGTTAAAATTCTATGCGATAAGATTAGAACATTTTTTTTTTTTGTTTTTTAGATGATGAGTTCTAAATTGATGATCTTTTTTTTTTGTTAGAAAGAGAGAGAGAGAGAGTATTCTTATTTTACTTTTCATCTATATGGCTTTTCAATAATTTGATTACTTTAACGTTTAATTTCATATATTTCTTCTTTTTTTTTCGCCAAAAATAAATGACTCATACTCATTCTTTGTTTACAAATATTGTGAGAGAATGTGTAATTGACAATTACTGAACATTTAATTAGTTCAAAATCACCCTCCGTTCAATCATTTATTTATAAAAAAAAGAAGATAAGCTATTTGTGAAGTTACCCTATTTCTGTTTTCTTTTACGTAAGTTTGAAAATAAAAAATGGCTAAATTTATGATTGTTTTAAATTTCTCGAGTTCTAATCCATCACATTTCACAACTTTTGTGAATTTATTTAATTAATATCATAAGCAAGCAAAAATCGTTGACCGAATATTTGAATGTAATTCATTTTAATATTTCCTGTTGCCTGGAATTACCTTGTGGAAACGGTAAGATGTGTAAGTGCAAGCTTGGAAGTTACAATTAGAGTTGACTATTCAACCATACAGTAATCTATGCTACAATTCAGTGATACATCGTAGTTCTATATCATGTTGTTTTCATTTCAGGTCAGCAGTTTGCGCGGTAAAAAGGAACGAAATGGAAATGTTTGTCATTTTATCTGAAAAGAACTACAAAGAAGAATTGGAAATTTTAAGGATTTTGAAAGGAAGCGGGAGAGGAGGAGGAGGGGGGAGAGGAGGACTGATCATCCTGAAAGCAATTTGAGGGAGTGGATGGATGCTCACTGGTTAATCACTTCATATGTCTATCTCTCCACCAGTTGTTGGTGTGTAAATTGAATGATACTGGATATTAGCAGAGAAGTGCTACGAAGAGTAAGAGAAACCACAGGCCCTAAAAGTTCGAGCTCGATCCAACAAACTTTATTAGTCATCAATAGCAGGAAGAAGAGGAAGCGTTGCTGCAACTATGGTTGACAGGGAATTGGCTATGAAATTGGCAGAAAGATTTAATAAATTGAGTCTTGATATGGATGATCCTACATTATTCTCTGCTGAAGGATCACAGGTACAGCAACAAATTGTTATCCCAGAACTATCACCGCCACCACCACCACCGCCACCACCGCCACCGCTACAACAGCAAACACCGCCATTTGGGGCAATACCAGATAGCGAATGGATCGATATGGATAAACTTATTGGACAAACACTTCACAGTCTTGAAGTCACTTCACGTAAAACGCCAAATAATGTGTTATCCTCAATGGACTATGCACAAAAGCCATTAAAAAAACCTTCAGGATCGATGAATGCTGTCGATACTCTTCTTCAAGGTATATTTTACATTTTCAAACTAATGACGATTGGTTTTAGATAATTTCATGTATTTGATGCACTTCACATAATCGTCATCTTATAATTGGTCAGGTGATACTTATCATTTTAACGATTAATGTATGCTTTCAAAGGTTAATAGTTGCAGTGCAAACGATTAATCATTCTGATATCAACGAAACAAATGATTCGTCCTCGTTATCACCAAAGTGCACTGCTCCGATTATACCCATCGTTCATCACAAAAATAGTCACGAACAATCAAAAAAAATTGTTTCTAATGATCCGATTCTTCAAAAGGTATTACTTCTTTGGGTTAGCTTTTGACCTGTATTTCTATAAAATGCATGATTTTATATCTACAAGTTTTGAAGCCATATCTAGTTATGCATTTGGGTTCTGGTAGTTTATACATCAGTTCACACTCCTGTTGTAATCAATACTAAATCTCTGGGGCATTGTAGTTTGTGTGTTTTAATATTTCAGACTAGCGATAATTTCATGAATAAATTTCTCTTTTTTTTGAACATTTATTAAGGAAATCTTGATCTCTCTTGTTTTAGAAAATGAGGATAACCTCGCTGTAGCGCGGAATAGTCACTGACAATATGTGGGAAGTAATTTTCCCTAATTAATTGTATAGTTTCTGTTCAAAAGTTCTGGCGGTTGCTTTGATAACGCCAAAAAGATGCCTTTTTCTTACTTCTCGCTTATTCAAATTAGTCTTCAAAGTTAATTATTACTTTTATTTATTAAAAAATACCTATAGAATAGCGCAATTTTATGTTCAATTAGATAAGGGACTTAAGTGCTCTCATTTGCATTCATTGTCTTATATGAGTTAAATGAGGTCAGATCGATAAAATTTTACAGCAATTTGAAATAAGAAGAAATAACACCGATTGATGTTCATTTAAAAAGATATGCAATTAATTACGTTTGGAGGAAAGGAGACAGATCAGTTTTGAAGGAAGAGAAATGTTTAAAAATCTCTGCTGTTGAATAATTTATAGCTTTCTTGCAAATACATCCTAAATTGGCTATCTGATATATAACTAAAGAAAATAATGGTAGGTTTTAACTCATTTAAAATGTTAGCCAACTAATCATTTGTAAATTTAGCAGTTAGTTTAATTTAAACTTTAAAAACTCAAAACATTCCATCAACATTCATTACAGGCATTGATTATCGTCCGATGTTACAATCGAATAATATTTCCATACTTATTTCATGCTTCAATAAGCCACAATTTTTGTTCCGATGTCAATAGAAGCTGATACATTGAGTGATAATAGTAGGACAAAGCAGGGGAGGACTAAACAAAATCGAATTTCCACAAGGTAGCAAGTAAAGTGTGTAGAAGAAATTGGGGAATAGAACCTAAAAGCATAGTCATTGTTCAATTTCAGTTTAATCCATCATAACCCTTCTCGAATTTCAACTTTCAGATGCGATTGTGATGGATTTCCCTGGAACTGAGAATAAATAAATTTGAAATTTAAAATAAACATTGAACATTCAATGTTTTACTCCTATTTAGTACATTTCTACAATTTAATTCAATCATTTTAACAGGAAAGAGACGAATTGGAAGCAAAATTGGCAAAACAGAGACAAAAAAAGCCGACGATACCTATGGAGGCGGAAAGTGCTGCCCCTTTTACTCTCATTGGTATTAATGCTGCTGAAGAGTCAAGAATCGCTTCAGGAACAGAGAAATCCGAGCTTATTTCGCTTACCAATCCATTACCGCCACCAGTTTTACCAAAAAATACTTCCGCTGATCTCAATTTAACAGAATCACAGTGGAAAGATTCTCGGAAACCACCTCCAATTTCAAAAAAACCTACTTCATCCGTGAGTTTTATTAATCTATCAGTCCAGTAATTTTGTACTCTTAGTTTGTTTATATGACCCTTACTTAATGCAATACTATCAAATTGCATGCCACGTTGTGACTCGCTCGATGACCTGATCTATACTGTTTGAATAATTCCATTACTCATCTGTAGTTTAGACATCAATATTAATTGATGAAGAATTTATAAACTGAAAGTGACTTTTCAATGGAAAATTTGAATGAATGTAATGACCAGAGATGAATATTAGAAAATGCTTTTCTTGTCATTTTTGACAGCACGACAGGGTCTAAAATATCTTTTCATTAAGTGCAATATTATTCCTACTTTTATGCCAAATCTTTAATAACCTGTCCTTTCTGCACGGTTAATTATCTTTTAGTTACTGTGCAGTGGTGTGTGTGTGTGTGTGTGTGTGTGTGTGTGTGTGTGTGTGTGTGTGTGTCTGTGTGT